CCTACAGGATTGGGGCACCAACAGACTGGAAGTCACATTTCCTCACTCTGCAATCCAGAGGTTAGCTGAAAGGCAGAGACTTTACCATGTCAGCACAGTGCCAGGCTTTGGTGCACACAGTGCTTTGTGACTCCTGGCCAGTGCCCTGGGCTGGGGTGAAGAGAACATTGAGAAGAGGAGGATTTAAAGGGCAGTAAAAGCAACAAGTAACTGACTGCTGCCTGCCTGCACTGACCAGCCACTGCAGAACTCAGAACACAGCTAGTGCCAGCCACAAATGGGACAGAGGCCTGTGGAACCTGCTGCGCTGGTGGCTGGTAGCCCCACTGGTCAGTGCCTCCCAGCCAGAGCCTGCTTCTGCACTCCAGCCTCTCCCTCCCCCCAGCTCTCTGCACACTAACTCCTGTACCCCTATTCCAGTCCCCTGCCCCAGGTCACATCCTAAATCCCTGCAACCCCTCCTCTAGGTCACAATACCCTCCCAGACCTTGCACCCCAACTCCTAATCACAACACAAATCCCTGCACCCCCTTCTGCATCCCTGTCCCAGAGCACAACCCCCACATTCTCATAAGGTCCCTCCTCACCCCACATCCTTTCCTGCCCCAGTTCCTTTCCCTAAGTCCCTTCTTCACCCAACCTCCATCCCAAACCCCACATCTTGACCAATTACCACATTCTTTGAATGTCTCCCCATCAAAAATTATTGCCCACCACTCAACTAGAGCCAGTGACAAATTCCTATCTTCTCAAATAATACTGTGATTGAAATACTAAGTGTGTACAGATGAGTGAAGAGCATGCACCTTGTAAAGAGAAGGAGAGACTGTATAAAGAAGTTGAAAATGGAACTAAGTAACATTCTGTTATGATAGAAATTGGCAAATAAAGGAAAGCAGAGAAAGTGTTGTGCTACAGGACTTAAAAGAAGGCTCAGTTAAGGCTGGTGAGGCAGTTAATTTACTCTGCTCAATGCTCAGACTAATAAAGGGGATGTAGTGAAACTGTGGAATACTTACTTGAAAGCCATATGGAGAAAGAGAAGAACATCGTGGGAGTAGCTTAAACTAGCACCTAATTTAGTGCCCATTCACATCCATACAAAGCTTACCACTGATTTCAGTTGGCTTTCGGTTAGCAGTGTCTCCATTCACCCTCCTCCAAAAAGCAATGATGTGCTTGAGCAATACAATTTGGATTGAATCTAGATTTTGAACTTCCAGGGGCTTGGGATGTTCTGATCAGGAGATCTAGTCAGGATAGTTACAGAGATAATAGCCAGTTACAAAATCCATGTCCAGATTTAAATTCAGGTTGATTCATACCTGTGAGGGCATTTTCTCCGTGTAATATTACTTTCCTAAATGAGAGAGGCTATTTAATCCATCTCTTACACAGGGCAAGAATTTGTGAAGCCATTCTAAGGACACTATTAACCCACGGTTAAAAATACAGATACAAAGTATATTAATTTAACATCCTCACAGAACTATAAATCTGTAAGTATTCAATGGAAAAGATAAGGCTGGAAACACAAGGAGGCAATGATGGCAATTGTAGCAGGAGTATTTAGCAATTGTGAGTGGTTTGGAGCATACAGTTTAACAAAGATCAGGAAGAAAGACTTTTAGTGAGCATAAGTAAAAAATGTAATAGTCAGCAAGATGTGCTAAGAACTGGTGACAGCAGATCCATTAATAATGGAGGGGAAGAAGGGTTAACCAATAATGATTTTTAAATGGCTGAGAAAGCAACTTTCTTTTAAATTCCATCTTTCATGGGAAAAAGAAGAGCACTGCAGAATTAAAGAAGACCTTGTCAGATAGCTATAGAAAAAAATCAGGCAAGGAAATATCTGGAAAATATATTTATAAATGAATCAATGGGTCTGGCTGACGTGCATGTTTGAAGCTTAAAGGAATTAATTAACAGATTTACTGAACCACTGACAATTCATTTAGAAGAGTAATGGAGGACTGGGTACATATCGGGAACAGGTAGGGGAAATAATGTAAATGTAGGAAAGGGAAACTAGTGCTAATATGGTGCCAGCCTTGAATGATCTATTTTCCATTAATTTTTAGTTCAATTCCTGGTAAAATAATAGAACCAATATGATATAAAAATAAACATCTAACAGATACCATGCTCATGAGCATTGAGCAAGAACAGGTTTAAAAACAAATAAACTTGACAGATAAATATGATTGCTTTCTTTTGCAAATAGGACAAATATAATGGATAGACAGAACACAGTTGATTTAATGCATGTTGGAGAGTGTCATGAATGCACATACTCCAAGGCCAGAAAGGACCATTGTGATTGTATATTCTGATTTCCTGTATAACATGGGCTATAGAACTTCCCCAAAATATCTCTAGAGCATGTGTCTTTTAGAAAAATCTATCTCCAAATTCCATCCTTTGAAGCATAGTATACCTTTCTCCTCTAGACTGAAGAGCCCATTATTAAATATTTGTTCCCAGGTAGGTACTTAATAGATTATAACCAAGTAACCTTTTAGCCTTCTCTTTATTAAGCTAAATAGACTCAAGGTCAATTAAGATTCCTAATCCTTTAATCATTTTCATGTCTCTTCTCTGAACCTTCTCCAATTTATCAATCCTGAACTTGTCATGGATGGTCTTGTCTTGTATATTCTTTAGAGATATGGAAAAGGGGGTACACAGTAGACCTGGATGAATTTTTAGGGCTGCAACTTATTTCATTATAAAGATCAGATTCAGGTCAAAGTATTTCTTAGGTTGGTATCAAATTCACTGACTTGCATTGGTCAGAAAAAAAATCTGAAAAAAAATTGAAACATTTTGATATGATAGTTTTGAAATGAAATGTTTGAAATGAAATATAGCTGAACAAAATGGCATGAAACTAGGAAAAGTGACAATGAGGATATAATGTATATGGAAAAAGACAATTTCTTGACAATGAGCCCTGTTCTGCTGTGGAATATTTCCCAATCCAATAATAGTTTGGAACATTTCAAATATGGCTGGAAAAATATACCATAAGGAATACTACTTCACTGGCAGGGAAATAAGCTAGAATACCCAATAGGTCCATTCCTTCTCTAACTTCCATAGTTTATATATATATATATATATATATAGCCTGACTTCTGCAGAAGATTATTCCATCTGATGTAATGCAAATAAAGAATAGTTCCTGATGTAGAACTAAATCTATAGTTGACGTAAAATGACTTCAACTGATTTCAGTGCAACTATGCTGGTTTACAGCAAGTTTCAGGGCAGCCTCTCTTAAAACATCCCTACTCTCTTCTTTGATGTCAAATCTTAGCCCTGTTAAAATACTTACCACAAAGTTTTGAATCCCACTCTCACTTTTAGAAGCATTAATTCAATCTGTTAAAACAATATAATTACATCTGTTCTGTATCTGGAAATATATTTTGGAACAAAATGGGTCCAGTGGTACTGACCAATTTCTGTGTCAAATTATGTATAGCTTTTTCTTAGCATTAGGTTCTCACTTCAGAGATCAGTGTGTTTCTCAGACCAATTGGTCTGATATAATTTAAACAAGAAGTAGCTATTCCTATCATATGTTGCTATATTACAGAACAGTGGGGCTTTCAGAAATATGTATTTCTTCAGCAGACAGGAACTTCACAGAGCCAGGCATTGATAACTGTACAGATGGAATCTGATGGCATTATTCAATGCAACTGAGTCAGCGCATCTGCTCAGGGATGAAAAAAGAGAAGAACCGTGTTTTAACTTACAGTGTTCTGTCACAGGATTATCAAAGAAAATAAGAGGCTGGTGACAATATGCTGTTGTGTTAAAGCCTTTGGATTTGAAAGCCTGAACTTCTTTCTGCTGCATATTTTGACTAACAGTGAGAAGTAAAAAACATTTGGAGCACTGTCACAGAGTGATTTAAAGCAATTATAAAAGAACCTAGTCTGAATGCAGATGTGATGTTCCTAAAATGCACTCTGATGGATTTTGTCTATTAAAAAATTGTGTCAAACTGCAAAGTTTAGATCCAGATTAATATCCAGATCCAAACTATCCCAAAATGTGATGGCTTTTGGAGCTAGAATTTTGTTTCAGAATAGCTCTAATATAAATATCCTGTTTATCTAATAAATGTGTGGTAGAATGCTTTTTTGTGAAGATGAGAAGCCTTAGATTAATGTGACTGCACTAGTTTTTATTTTATGCTATTACAGGTTATATGGTACCCTGTATCTGCTCATTTCATGTAATGTGAGGGGGGTAACATCCCCAAATATGAATGCTTTCAACTGTTCAAGAATGACAACTATTTAATAAGTGCACTAAAATGAAGTTATATTCATTCTTATGAATGTGTGTGTTTCTGTAAATAGATAGATAGAGGGCACATTAACAATGATGCATCACATTTGTTTAATACTGTAACTTTTAAAATATATTTTATATTACCTTATTTTCTTTGGAATATATGAGTCATTATAAAATATCACTCATTTTTTTTATAAGAATGATTTTTACATAAACTTTGCAATGACCAATATCCATCACAAGCTAAGTACCATTAGTGCAAAATATATTTAGTCTTAACTGAATGAATTTTATACAAATAATTACAAGAAAATGTGGTGTCCAGGTTCACTGCTAGTATAATTGGATGAAACTTCACTGAAGCCTGTAGGGCTAAAGCAGAAAATATACACAAGTGGACAATATGCACTCAGGTTTCAAGGTCATTGTCTATGAAATCATGGTTCTCTATATCAGAAGAATAAACACAATTGTTAGGTCCTTGCCCTGAAACATGTAGCTGATTTTTAATGTCATTTAACAAACTACTTAAGTTGGCTGAGGAGTTAGAATTCTTGTAAATGTCTGCTGCTGCAATGCACTGCCTTCTGTTTCCATTTCTTTAAAAGAGAAGGGGACTCCATAAAAAGGAAGGTAAAGGTTGAAATATCAACATATCTAACTATTTTTGTCTATATCTTTCCTAGGCATTTTAATGTGCCCTTTTGATTCCAGATGATTTCAGGTAAGGTTAACTAATATTGGTCCATGCTATTAAACCGTTCACAGTCAGGAACACAAAGGACTAAAGACATTTGAGAGACTGAGAAATATTCTGATAAATGGATGTTGAAAATCATAGTATATCCAATTCTTGTGATTTTATCATGAGTCTCATGACAGATATTTTGGTGTTTTACATAAAACTACCCTGACTACTGGAGTTACAAGATTACATGAGAATTTCTGCTTTATTTAAAATAAAAAATATTGCTAGCCATCATGATTGCAGAGAAAAACTTGAAACAGTGATCACAAAGAATCTGGCACCAGTTGGCGAATAAAAATAAATTCATAATATAGCCAGAACAGCTTAGTGGATTGCAGCAGCTATGGAGAGGTCTTTACTGTTGCTGTTTTGTTTGATTGGCAGGTGACACAAGGAAGGGATACTGTTGATTTCTGAAGGATCCGGACGATAGGAGAGAGCAAAGAGGAAGCACAGCTTCAGAGGAGGAAGCAGTAGACACTGCAGAAATAAGGTCATCAAGTTAGGAGGCATATCAAGAGGGCTTACAGGTGCTGGAGGTGGGCCAGAAGCCCCTGCCAACATAAGACCAACTACCATCTGTACAGGATATTTGCAATATATCTAGATAGCTTATATACTTCGTCTGCTGTTCTTGGACTCAAGGCCTGTGAAGACTTGTATACATGCCTAACTTTATGCACTGTGAATTGTCCCACTGAAATCAGAGTTACATACTAAAGAGTAGGCACAGAAAGGAAATGATTTTGTATCAGGCCGAGAGTTCCTCAGCACATTTGGGAATCCTGACTGAATATCTATGTATTAGCAAAGAGTTAATAATTTATCCTTTTGCAGTAATGTCAATCATTCTATGATGCATTATCTAACACAAGAGAAAAAAAAGGTATTTGGAGATTTCCTTCATTTTTTGTTGTCACATTTCCAAGTTTTTAGCTATGAGCAAGTACTATACAAAATTTACTGAATTTAAATTGCCCTCTCTGCACATTAAACAATGGCTTTCATATACAAAGTATACTTTTAGCAAAGGAGAATTGTAAAGGATGCATTATAATTTAACATTGGATGCATGAATGTAGCCTATGTTTTTTAGAGAACAAAGACTGACTTTTTATAGATGTGTATGTTTTATTCATCACTGAATAACTGGGCTATAAGTGTACAATCTGTAACATTATTGATTTGCAATATGTGCAACTGGTCACATTCAGTTTGCTTTCTGCCATTATTACCTGCTTAGGTTATCTATAATTAAAGTGAATAAAATCTCTTTAATGTACTTTACTGTTGTATAGCATTAAATAGTAGTTACAGTCATAAAATTTCGTTTGTGCATTGAAATCGTAAGAAAATGTGGAATTTGCTGTAAGAACATTCTCTTTTACATTGCAGAAAGATAATGAAAGGTACTTTTATATACATAAAGCATAACATAGTAACAAACTTTTATTTTAATCTATAATGGTACAATCTATGTAGCACTCCATTCATATCAATTTCATATGTTTTTGCAATGTCTGGTAATGCAAAAAATGGAGAAATTTCTGAATCATGGTGTGGTTCCAGTGAGAGTAAATTGGCTATCAGACTTGAAGAAGAGCTCTATGTAGCTCAAAAACTCTGTCTCTTCAACCTACAAAAGTTAGTCCAATAAAAGATATTATCTCACTCACCTCTCTCTAATAGCTTGGGACCAGCACACATACAGCAACATTGGAAATACCTTAAGAGCAACCATCCAAGAACATGTCCACCCCTTGAGCAGTGGATATAAACTCCCAGCTCAGACAGACATACCTGAGCTAGCGGTGATTGAGCTAATATGCTCATATTAGAGTTTGGCTACAGTGACTTGAACGGCATGAGGGATTAGCCACCCTGAGCATGTCTTGGATAGGTATGAACACTTGGCATCAGGATCCTCCTGACGCTCATGGAAGCACTCTAGTTTTATCATGATGGCTGAATCAGAGCAAGCATGGTTTTGTCTCCTCTGACTGGGATACCTGATACTTGATTCTAGTTTTACTATTTACACAAGGAGGAAGGGGGAAAGGATGGTCTTGTGGACAAGGCCCTAGCCTAGGACTCAGGACTGCTAAGTTTAAGTCTTGCCTTTGGCACAGATTTCCTGTGGACAGAATCCACAAAGACGGGGTCTCACCATTACAATGCCTACCTTAAGGAGCCCTATACCTCAGCACAATTTTGAGCCCCAATTTAGGCATCCAGTCTTCCTTCACAGTGCATGGAAACAGTTAGGCATCTAGGAATACTATTGATAAGTAGAGTGTGAAGCCACCTAAATTAGTCAGTAGAAAATACTAAGCCCTTCCCATGAAAGGGAAATCAGGCACCTAAATCCAGGTCAGATAGAAATGCTTCTCTTCACTCAGAATTCACAATTATGGACCCTTTCCTAGAGCTAAGTGGCTAAACCAGGTCAGCCATTTCTTAAGATATGTCAAGGATGCAGTTATCCCTTTCACCCAGTATACTACAGGTGGAACACTTATCTTGGATAGTTGTTTGTCCATAAAGGCAGAAAGAATGACTGGTGGCCTTAGCTTGGGCACCCACCTGGAAGTAGGAGGATGCAGTTGCCAGACCATGCTCCAAGGAATGTAACCCTTCTGTCAGACTGCAAGGGCAACAGCCAGGGTTAGGGTTCCTTTCCATCTATCCAACAAAGAACTCGTTAGACACCTTCCCTCCTCCCCCCCTACCTCCCCACCAGCACCCAGTAACCTGGGAAATTCACACACACTTCTAGGTGCCTCTGAGAGGCAATGTTTCCCCACTCACAAACACAGAATTTGAGAGTAGAAAATAAACTTTTAATGAAGAGGGGGAGAAGGAAAATGGCATTAATTTGGGAAAACACCACAAACAGAGTTCATAACCAAGCCATCAGTAAATGTCCCAGGTCAAGTAGGTAGGGCAATGTCCTTTTGCCTCTCAGGCTCACAAGTCCAGCAATGTAAGTGTCCCATTCAGATGCCCAACCCTTCTCTGCACCCCACTCACAGTTGCTGCCCTTAGTCATGGCAGACCAGAGTTCAGAGGTGATCTGCAGAGTTCACCTCCCATTGTGGTGGGGGGGGGGGGGGGGGGGGCGGGGCAGGGAGGATAGGTAGGTGGCATCTCACCCACTCTGCTGGTCACTCACTATCCACCTGATCACTGCTTTCTGATGCCACTTTGCTGGCTGCCTGCCAACTGCTCCTGCTAGCTGCACTTGCCACTGCTCCCACCAGCCACCTGCTGGCCACATGCTTGCTCATGCCAGCAGCCCTGCCAACCACTCCTGCTGACCACCTGCCAGCTGTTGCCACTGGCATTGTGACGGATTTGGCTCTGGGCCAAACCTAGTGATTTCAGCTCTCTGTGATTTCAGCTCTTGGCCTGCAGCCAAAAGATTCCAGCATCCAGTAGATTTAAGAGTAATAAAGAGATTAACAGATTTAAAGCAATAAAGAGACTCCTTATGGAGTCTGTTTAGTTCTCTCGTTAGAAGTAGGGGAGAAAAACAGGTTGAACCAATCTTTCAGCTCACACCTGGAGAAAATGTAGCCTGCTGGTTCAGAGCTCTGCCCTTCTCCCCCAGTTCACTTCACAGAGTCTGGAAGAGAATGCTTGTCCATCTGTTTGCCTATTGTAACTAATTTGGCTGTTGTGGGGCCACAAATCATGTTGTCCTTAAATGTAGGAATTGTAAAATATGACTACCAATGCTTGCAGTTATTGGGAATGCAGAATAACAGACTGGCTGTGTCTACATTGGCATCCCTTTCCGGAAAAGGGATGCTAATGAGACACTTCGGAATTGCAAATCCGCGGGGGATTTAAATATCCCTCGCGGCATTTGCATTTACATGGCTGCCGCTTTTTTCCGGCTCAGGGTTTTTGCCAGAGAAAAGCGCCAGTGTAGATGCAATTTTCCGGAAAATAAGCCCTTTTCCAGAGAATCCCTTATTCCTACTTTAAATATCCCCCGCGGATTTGCAATTCCGAAGTGTCTCATTAGCATCCCTTTTCCGGAAAGGGATGCCAATGTAGACACAGCCAGTCTGTTATTCTGCATTCCCAATAACTGCAAGCATTGGTAGTCATATTTTACAATTCCTACATTTAAGGACAACATGATTTGTGGCCCCACAACAGCCAAATTAGTTACAATAGGCAAAATACCATTCTAATAATTGAATATCTATCAAGCCTATTGCAACTGACTGAACTGTATTTACATAACCACATCTAGGATTTCTTTCCCATTCCAGCAAAAACTGTAATTACATAACAACCGTTGAATACCTTAGAAGGCTAAGCAACTGAGTGGGCATAACCACACCCAGGATTCCTTTCTCATTCCAGCTGTCTGTAATGGAAGCATTGATTCAGACCCTGCTTACAGAATATTTAATTATGTATATAATGTGAAATGGCTTCATCAGAGGAAATTGAAAGACACCAAAGAATACCTATTAACCCAATGAGTAGGGCACTGGTCTAAGATACAGGAGACCTGGATTCAAATGCCTTCTCCAAAGAAAACATGTTTTCCTAGCTAATAGCATGCTTACTTCACTGTCCTCCACAGGTTCAATAGGCAAGATTTGAATGAATCTGGAATTTACACCCCTAAACAATTAGGTGGGCAGTGGAGCAGAGATTTGAGGATCTAAATTTTGGACTTAGGTTCCTAAATCTCTTTGGATTGAATCTTGTGTGGCCTTATGTAAATCACTTAGGTCCAGAATCAGCAAAACACCTAAGAATTTGCTTAAATACATCCATATTATTCAAAACAAAATTAAACTTTCGCAAGTTATTCGCTAAATCAGGACCTTACTTTGTCTGTGTCTTGATTCTCTATCAGGAGTGACAATTCCTTATCTAACGGGAGTGTTCTGAGGAAAAAAATCAGGTTTTCAGTTATAATGTAGATGAAGGCCACACAAGTACAGAAACCTGTCAATAGGACTATGGTTTTGTACATGTGATCGTCACTAATAATAGGACTACTTTTGATATAAGACTAATTTTAAAAATACCTCACTTTCTCTTTGTTCTGCATTTCTTCTAAATAACCCTGTCAACATTTGTGAGTCAAAACACTTTTGTCACTAAAAAGTGAAGTCCCCAAATTTCTGCATAATTCAGGTGAGTACCAATCCTCTTTTTATTATGTATATAAAAAATGTAAAAATAAACAAACAAACCTTATCTCCTATATTGGCAAGCAACTTCAAGGATTATTGGCTTCATTGAGAAGCAGCACCTCTTAGGATTGGGTCCACAGATAATAAAGCAAATAAACAACCTGTCCTCCCATGACTTTTAACATCATATCATTTTCATAAAAGAGTTTTATAGCTAGTAATCTTTAGCAATGTATTCTACTATGCTAACACTAACAG